TCTCCTGGCTAGATTCCCTTTCCTTCTGTCCCCCTCACCCCCGCGCCCGGGGCCTGATCCTCTTCTACGGGCGGCTGACAGAGGCCTTCAAACGTTCACCTTTCCGCAGCGTTTCGAACGTGGCAACTCAGACCACGGGGGAAAAGGCTGGCCCGTCGTGCGACACTTCCTCCTGGATTTTCACCTGCCCTACAGCATGTGAAAAAGAGGAATCAATGAACATGTTACATTTTGAAAAACAAAGGAAACGGGGCGGGGAGAAATCACCAAATTCCCTCTCCCCTTTGTTTTGCTTTTTGGCCAGCTCTCTGCTTTTGAGATCCCGTCTTAATGGTGCAGGCTGGACAGACTAGACAGACACATGGTGTGTGTCTGGGAGGGGGGAAACTGAGGCACAGAGTGGTCAAGTGACTTACCCAGGGTCACGCTGTAGGTCAGTGGCAGAGCCAGGATTAAAAACCAGGGCTCTGGCCTCCCAGGGCCGCACTGCTTTCTCAACCCACTTGGAGCTGGATTCTGTTCCTAGGCCACATCCTGCTGCCAAGACCCATTGTTTTTAGGGGTGTGCTTGGCTGAGCACCCGATGGCACGAAGCAGCCGCCGTCTGGCCAGGCAGCAGGAGCAGGACCCAGGCTGTGCAGAAGCCATAGAATCATAGACTACTAGGACTGGAAGGGACCTCGAGGGGTCATCGAGTCCAGTCCCCTGCCCTCATGGCAGGACCAAATACTGTCTAGACCAGGCATGTCCAAAGTCCGGCCCGGGGGCCAATTGCGGCCCGTGTTCCGGTTTAATACGGCCCCACAGGTAATTTGGCAATATCTATCTTTTATGGCCCCCAACGAATCCATATGTATTGAGATGAATACATTGTAAAATCTCAGTTAATGTCAGTTGGTCTAAATCAGTTATAAATATATTTGGACACAACATGTATACTTGGTGTTATGTTCCTGTTCATATTTTTTGAACTTAAAAGTTGACAGACAACCTTTATTACCAATAATATGTAATGTACTTTACAATGTTCCTGACATATATTTCAGCTTCCTGGATTTTTTTTTCATCTGGCCTTCAGATATGAAAGGCAGAGTGATTTAACACCTGTTTAGATTTGTCATCCATGTGACGAAATGAAAAGTATGCCGTTTGCAATAAACTTTGCATAAAATAGTTAATTTGCATTTAATTTTAATGGTTCAAAGAATGTCAGGCAAAATGGTCGGCCCTCACGCATGTTCACTTCATCAAATCTGGCCCTCTTTGAAAAAAGTTTGGACACCCCTGGCTAAGGGAGATTAGAGAGACTATTAAAATAAAAAACTCAATAATAGTGGGGGATTTCAACTATCCCCACATGGACTGTGTACACGTCCCCGCTGGACAGAATGCAGAGATAATATTTCCTGTTAACTTAAATGACTGCTTCTTGGAGCAGCTGGTTCTGGAACCCACAAGAAGAGAGGCAATTCTTGATTTATTTAGGGTTGCCAGGTGTCCGGTTTTGAATCAGACAGTCCAGTCTTTGAGCTTTCTGTTCGGGAAACAAATTGAGAAAATATCAATGAGAAAATATAAATGTCCAGTATTTTCTAAATGAGATGTAATGTAGATTGTGATGTAATATCAGCCGTGTCCGGTAATTTTGTTGAAACCATCTGGCAACCCTAGATTTAGGCCTAAGTGGATCTGATCCAAGGGGTAAATATAACTGGACCACTTGGAAATACAGGCAGTCCCCGGGTTACATACAAGATAGGGACTACAGGTTTGTCCTTAAGTTGAATTTGTATGTAAGTCGGAACTGG